CTCGGCCTCCCAAAGTGCTGGGATTACAGGCATGAGCCACCGCACCTGGTCCGGTCGTGTGTTTTAAGCTTTTTATAATTGAATACTTAAAACATACATAAAAGTAGACAGAATAGTATCATGAATGCCCATGTACATATCACCAGCCCCACCAACAACCCATGGGTCATCCTGCCCTGTCCACCACCTTTATCCATTCCTTACAGTCCTGCATTATTTTGAAATAAATCCCAGATATTATATATATTTCATTCATTAATATTTAGGTTAAATAGGTAAGTAATTGACCTAAAAGATAAAAACTCTTTTATAAATAACCATATTATTGTCATATCTGAAAAATTAATAATTCCTTAATTATCAATTATCCATTATTTACATTTATAATTGTGTCATAAACATTGTCATAAATAGATTTGTTGTTTTAAAGCTTGTTCCTTCATTTTCTCTGATTGTTTTGTTTTAGACAAATATTGTCATAAATAGATTTGTTTTTTTAAAGCTTGCTCCTTCATTTTCCCTGATTATTTTGTTTTAGATTCAGGGGTTACTTATGCTTGTTTGTTACACAAGTATTACATGTGTAAGGGGGGATATTGGGCTTCTAGTGTACTCATCACCCAAATACTGAACATTGTACTCAAAAGGTAATTTTTCAACCCTCATCCTCCTCCAACCTCTCCGCTTTTGCAGTCTCCACTGTCTATTATGTCCACCTGTGTCCATGTGTACCCATGGCTTAGCTGTCACTTATAGGTGAGAGCATGCCGTATTCCTTCTCCATTTTGTGTGTGTGATTTATTTCTGTTGAATAAAACAATTTGTTTGTATTTCAGATTCCCCTGCTGGTTTGATGATTAGAGAATAGTTGCACTTGTTTCCTTTATTCTCTGTTTTTCCTGTGAATAGGTCAATGGATGTAAAGGCCCCATTCAATTCAGGTTTTTTCATTTTGGGGTTTTTTGGTGTTGGGAAGACTTTTTTCTTGCTTTCATTGTGTCAGATCCTATCATTTTCAGTGAAGTTTTTAAAAGCTAACTTTTCTTTTTTTCTCTTACCTCATCCTTGCCTTTGTTTTGCCCACACCTTCTATCTGCAAGTAACCCATATTAAAAATAGAGTGCATACCCTTTCATATTTTTCTCCATATTCACATAGGTATCTTTACACCTGCACACACAGAGTTTGCTTTCCAAAAATGAGGTCACAGAAAGCCTTCCAAGTCAAATAGTAGAGCTCGAGTTTGTTCTATTTAGTGGCTGCAAAGTAATATTCCACTGTGCATACGCACCATAATTTATTCAGTTATCTCACTACTAGTGGGCACTTGCTTTGCTCCCAGTTCTTTTTGCCCCATCCTATTCATATACATTTATATACATTTATAAAGGATAGAATCCTAGGAGTAGGATTTTTGTCTCAAATAGTAGCTTTTTATTTTAACAGATGTTTTTTCTGGACAGCTTTCAAAAAAGGCTGTAGCAATTTACATATCCATCAGCAAAGGATGAGATCACCCTTTCCCCCACAATCTTAAATAGTCTCAAGGAGCCAGCAAGGATCAGCAGTTCTTCAAGGAGAGGGGAAACTCTATGAGATTCCCTACTCAGCAATAAATGAGCTAACAGTGAATTATTCCTCAATAGAAAGGCCTCTTTCTGGCATCTTTGGATCTCTTTAGCCAAGTAGGCCTCACACAGAACCAAAGTCCAGGACACCCCAAAACAGGGTCTGAAGACAGTTGTCTCTAACTCACTCCTCCCCACCTCGTGAATACCTGTGAGTTCTTTCCTACTGGATAGTACTTGCATATTACACAATCAGCTGCATCTAGCATCTGCTCTTAATTTCATTTGATATTTTAATCATCTCAGTTAAGATTCTGGGAAAAAGAAGTTGCCTGGGATTGAAAGAAACTAGGAAACTTAGCGAGATCATTCTTAAGCCAGGTACAAAAAATTTTAATGCTCACATATGCATATGTGATGGCCACACCGAAAGGAGCACCCACCTCCCTCCCTCTGTGATAGACACATTTTCTTAGCCTCCACCTTTCCTTCTTTCAAGTCTCCCTGTTGCTGAAAATCCGGTGTTTCTGTTCATTTGTTACTTTCATTCTCAACCATCTTCTCTCTTGCTCCATCTACCAGAACAATAACCCCCAATATAATACTTCTCACCTCACTTTTCAACGCAGGACCTCTTGTTGGGTAAGCTAAAAGGATATGTGTTCTGTAAATAAGGAAAGTCTTTGTTCAAAGAATCTATCAAATGTTCCCATGACTCCATCCCTAACTATTTGTATATCTAAAGATCATATAGTAGAGAGAAACAAAAGATTAGCCCTGCTTCATCTTACAGCTGGGAGAGTCATGAAAGGCCAAATGGGTAACAAAGCTCCTAGTTTTGACCAAGCCTAGCTACAAAGAAGCTACTTAAATGTCAAAGGCATTGTTTGTATAAAAAGGGAACCAATGTACAGGTTCCCTTTATAGTAGAAATAAGAGAACTGCCTGTTGACAAAGGGAGGAGGAAGAAAATACAAAGTACACTTTTAAAACATGAAGGCTTCATAGCAGTTCATAGTCGTTCAGAGAAACATGTTCCACTGAGAGTGACCTGGGAGAGAGGATTACATTACTATGCCAGAAGGAAGAGGCCACTGTGCATGCCCCATCACCAGCCTCACCCTCCTGGTCAGCCTTACAAGAATGACACTAGATATACTCCAGGAGTTGGACCCACCACAGCCTGCACACTGGAGTAAGTGCTTTCCTCCAGTCAAAGCTCATCTTAGAATTATCTGGGACTTAGACCATCCCCAGAACGGTGCAGTTGCAGGAAGCCTGATGTATGTCACCTGAGACAGCCCTGGATCTGAGTTTCCTCCTTACGTTTTGGTATTTGGAAGCGGGTGGAGAAGACACTCTTGGGTAGAAGTATGGGAGGCATACAAATTTAGAAGAAAAAGGATGACTCTATCTTTAGTGTGTTGTCTATGGCAGTATCTAGCCTTCCCACTGTATACTTACATTCCACCTACAAACATTAAAATAAAATCCACAGTGCACTCCTTTGTTTTAAAGAGGAACTAAGAAAAAAACTCAAATTGTCAATTTGGTTCCGGATTTTTTTTTTTTAATGGGATCTTTGATCTGAAGTCAATATAGGAAGAGCTCTGAACAAAGTAGCACTTTCAAAGGTTGCATATTAAAGAGGCGAAATGAAAGACAACTTAGCACTTGAGATGTGAATTTGAATGTGTATATGGTTACAGTCTGGATAAGACACTGTTAACAAATGATTTCATTAACTCATCGCCTATGTGCGACCACTGGACAAGGGGAAGGGGTGTTCCGGCTGTGGTGCCATATACTGAAACTGAACCCATGAATTGGGCCCACTGGAATTGAGGGACAAGCCAGATAGATGGCAAGAATTCTAATTTCCAGCATGCAAATCAGTCTAAACATTTGACTTTTTAAAAGTCTATTTGGAAAGGTTTTGAAACAGGGCTGCACTAGGCAAGATCATTAAGTAAGCAAAACTTTAACTATTCTTATAACCATGTCTTTGCCCGGGTGCATGAGGCTCTCTTCTTCTCTTAGTGACAATAACATGCTCACAGGAAGGGTTCAATGTGAATTATTTACACCTTACTTCATGTGGATTTAAGTCAATGTATTATCTATGAAGTTTTATATTTAAGCCATACTTGTGAAACGTTGAAGAGGAAAAAGTATATTTAGCACATTTGGGGCACCCTAAATGTGTACCTGAGTAAATTTCAGTTTTTTGAGTTGTTTGTTTGTTTGTTTTCAATTTGAGATGAGTTTAACCTGTGTCGCCCAGGCTGGAGTGCAGTGGTACAATCTCGGCTCACTGCAAACTTTGCCTCCCAGATTCAAGCAATTCTCCTGCCTTAGCTTCCCGAGTTGCTAGGATTACAGATGCCTGACACCACGCCCAGCTAATTTTTGTATTTTTAGTAGAGATGGGGTTTCACCATGTTGGCCAGGCTGGTCTCGAACTTCTGACCTCATGTGATCCACCTGCCTCGGCCTCCCAAAGTGGGTTTGTTGTTCTTTTAAAGAAAAAAGATCCCTACTTATTTTAAATGGTGATAGCAGTGTCCTGACTCTACCTAGACAGATATGTTCATTCATATGTTCATTCCAGCTGAACCACAGTAACTGCAATTTTCAAAGAAGGCATACAGAGCCTGGGAAATCGGAAGAGTATGGCAACAAACTGGTATACAAGGAAACTGAAAATGAAAAATCAGCAAAGTGGCATTTGTACCTGCCTGAGTGGCTACAGCAGTGAAGGTGAAAGGTGGAAGGCTAGATGGGGGATATTAGCATCATCTCTTCCTTTCCTCACCTGCAGCCTCAATACTTTCCATTGTGGTCCCAGGATCCGCCAGGTCAACTGTGATCAACTCTGAAACAGGCAAACTCTGGGAGGGGAGGAGGCATCCTTTCCTATTCTCAATGGTCTCAGCTCCGGAGACCACTTTAGTAAGCTCTCCTTGTCATACCTTAAAACATACATTAAAACCCATAAGCAATTCCAAAACCTCATTTTATTATGTTGTTTTTATCTCCTTGCTCACCAATCTTAAAGAAATGTGGTAACACAAATCTCAGAGACTGATTTCTCCTACTTTCTTAGGAGGGAAGGAGTGTTAAATAAGCAAAGGCATGCTAACAGGAAGGAAAAAAAATGGAGATTATGAATAATAATCATAATTTGAAAATTATTAAAATGATGCACCTGGCAGTTTACAAAATATTTCTTTGTTACATTATTTCTGCTGCTGAATTTGATCAAGAGATTGTACTCATCATAAAATGAATATTATTGATCATTTTAAAGTCTCTTCTAAAAGTGGCTAAATTTATACTGCTGATTCCTTTTGAAACGTGACCTACAGCTTCTTGGCTTTTATGAGCTATTCAAGAAAGATTTAGTCATCACGTTGTGTCACAATGGGAGTGACTCACAGAGCAAGGAGAGAACCTGAGGATTCCTCACACATGTAGTACTCAGAGCTCTACAGAAACCCAGGCACCTCAACCTCAAGAGGATCAGCCTGACCAGGGTGGCACAACTCTTCCTTCCCCGTGCACAGCAGGAAAGCTGCCGTCAGCTGAGCAAGTCCACCAACAGTTTCTGTGTCCCACTTCGTCTTTAATAAGGTAACTGATGACAGTTTTGTCATTTATTCTTTTATTTATCACGTCAATCTAAACTTTCTTTGATTTTCCTCACTGTTGCAGAATGAATCAGTGGTCTTTCAAGCTGTGGTCAACTGTCACTACTTCTTTTAATGTAACACATTAGAATGCAGTAATGGGAGCTGGGTCCATCTCACCATAGAAATGACCTCAGTGTGACCTGGGATCTTGCCTTAAACTCCTCCAGGACACTCTTTGAATGTCCTTAAGCACCCTAGTGTCCCAATTCAATTCATATTTTGTTATTTTCTCTGGGCCTTCTTGACACCCTCTGTGAATATATGATTAATTGGAAACTGGAGGGGGAAGTCTCCAAAAAGCACAGGATTCTTAGATGAGTTTCTTACTGAAGCAACAGATTCACTGTCAACTGCAGGTCTGATCTCCTTGTCTGTCTGCTTTATCAATATTATCAGATGTGAGTTTGCATGAATACACACACGTATACACTAAACTGAGGGAGAAAATGCCTTGTAGGTCATGAAAAGCAGGGAAATTCCCAACAGTTCACATTTGATCCCTGGATCCTAGGGTGGCAGCAATAAGCCTGCTTCAGATATTTGCTCCTCATTTTATGATGCGATAGTTCGGTTTTTCAAATGATGATATGGCTCCTTTCTCAATGACTTGATGTTTAGGAGGTGTACTTTGATAATTACATTTTAAAATAAACAATCAAGTTAGAGTTGTACAAATGGCTCTGAAATGTCCCGCTACACTATTAGACCAAGGGCACAGATTGTGCTTCTGTACTATTTATCCCAGTACCCTCGGCATATATTAACTGCTCTAAAAATGTCCTTGGCTACACGCTGCATCAAATGAAAGTTAAATGTTAGACCACATTTCTATTCTATTTTTAATATTCAAAGAGGGTGCTCAGATTTTAGAACAAATCTCAATCCTTAAGTACACACAAAAAAATCATTAACTCATACATTTCAAGGGTAGGATATGGGAACTGGTATTAAAACTCTTATAATAAATGTCACTGTCTTAAGGGACAGTGTTTAAAAACTCAGACCTTTCCTTCTGCTGAAAGATCACCGTGGCTGAAATGTGCTGAAGTTTTAAACACACTTTTGGAATCTACACATATGTTCTATGCTCTAAGCTTTCCTTAAAGCCTTGTGACTACAAATGATAATTGTACACAACATATAATCTTTCCCAGCTAGCAATTTTTACGCAGTGACCATAAATAAAGTAATCATAGCTTTAACAATAATTCTTAACCTGCTAATACTGTCAGGAAACACTGTCAAAATAATAAATCTAGGAGGGACTTGGGATAATTAATGAATAGTTATGGATGTGATGATGAATTATAATTTAAAAGTTTTGAAGGAAGGCAAAAGAAAATCAGAGATGCTTTTATCCTTAGAACTAAAAATGCAAAATGTAAATCCAGCAGATATTCCCTACATGAGGCAGTTGGTACACCTCTGCTAGGAGGGAGGGAAGCTACGTCCCGAGGAGGCTGTCTGAGTGAACCAGTAGTGGAAGTACACACAAACCCCAAGCCTCGTTGTCCCACTATCCAAAGCACAGTCTGACTGCCAAGGATTACCTCCCGTCCTCAGGGAAGCAGGAATCAAGGGCACTGTAACTAACCAGAGGAGGAGCTTCTTCATCCATTGAGTAAGGGAACTTACCCTCCCATGATGGTAAATACCAACTCAATTATATCATCAGCAGCATAATAATTATTATAATTATTATTTCAGTCAGACTCTCAAAAACGCATTTGTTGCTTAATGCAAGCACATTTAATGTAGGGTCCCTTAGCTCTATTAAAAAAATGTTTTTTCAGATTTCTGGGTGGACCATTTGAACACATTTTTCACAGAAATATAATTTTTTAGTTTATGTCAGTAGGTTCCAGTGTTCATTTTTTTAAGTGTGGAAGAAATCTCTAAAAGCCACTTGGGTTTTTTAAAAAACAAAGCAAAACAAAAACCAGTTGTTTTTTTTTTTTACTTCAATGAAAAAGAAAAAATGAAAAAGGAATGTTGTGTAAGTTAACCAGGTTTACAATATTCAAATATACAAGGGGCATGCATGTTCAGTGGCTTTCAGTATTTAGAAAGTCATACAAGAGAACTCCAAAAAGAGAATACTTTAGAAAATCATTGCTCAATGCTTTCTATTTGATGTATTTTGGTAAACAACATAGTTGTTGATTCAACTTGGACCACAATTGCAACACATTGGAAGTAAATAAAGATTCTACAAACTCCTGACAGTGTAGTTGACTAGCTTTGGTATCGCTTTCTAAAAGGAAACACTTCATGAAGTTATGTGGAAATAAAATCAACTGGTCTGGGCGGAACTATCTAGAAAGAACTCTACATTGCTTATAAAAAGTATACTTTACAATAATATTGAGATATTTTCTGTTCTTTTTTTTTTTAACTGTGTCATTTATTTTTAAGGAACAGAGGAAGGTGAATAAGAGAAGTGAAATTAATCCTATTTTTAACTTTTTTACTAGGAAAAGAAACTCAGAAAGAAAAAGTTAAGAAAAGCAGAAGTGATCAAGGAGAGCACTCGAGTTGCAATATTTTCCTTTGGCTGCTGACAGGCAGTTACTATAAAGCATTGAGCATGGGGTATGAAAGACAGAACTAGTTCTCCTTTCTTGGTTTCTTTTGAATCTTTGTGGTATGGTAGAGAACTTTTGATAAAGTGTTCTTGTGCCTGCTGTCGACTGATAATATGTTCATCTCTGCAGGTTTTCCTTCTCTTTTCACACAGTTTAGAGTTCAGAGATTGAAGTTTTAGTTCTGGTCACTCTCTGGCAAGTGACCATAGTTATGACCTCTACACCAGAAATATCTTGACAATTACATGAGATAAATATTACATAAACACTTCCCAAAACTTTGTAATGTTATTGAAATTGGAAGTGTGAATATTATATATTATTATAATTTCTATTATCCTTTTGCCCCAGCGATTCCGAGGTCTCAAAGATTAATCCAATTATCACTAGAACTCTGGAGCTAGAGTGGAGACTTCTTTCTTTCCTTCCTCTTTTCCTTTTTTGCTGTACAACATTTACTAAATGTCAACATAATGCCAAGTATCACGCAAGGAACTGCTAATGTAGAGAGGTGTATGCATAGCCCAGAGTTGAGTGGGAATACAGACTGAAGTGGTAGAACAGAATGGTCTGGGTATCAGTCCTGAAATCGCCACTACAACTGTAGCTGGAGTCAATCAAACAGAGTTTCTGGATGTGTTTCCTGCTCTATACAGTGGAGATAATTTTATTGTAAGGTGTAAATAAGATAAATATTTATAGATCCTAGAAAAGGGCCTACAACATGTTAGGCACTCAATGAACCATAGCATTATTATCATTCCTCCCTGACTTGGTCAACCAGGAACTTGAGAACCATAAATTTGCTAGGAGGATATTTTGAATTCTGTAGTGTCAGTTGGCCACCTACCAAATGGTACCCCCAGAGGAGCTGGGGGTCAACAGCATGGGGTAAACCTTGAGGGAGGGAACAGATGGGAGGTGATTAGATGAAAAGATTTGGGTGAAGACACAGAGCCAAACCATATCAGCCTCCTATCCTCCTGATGACAAAAAGACATTTTAAAATATTTATATAGAGAGAAATTAATGCTTGCAGCAGCAGGATCTGAGTAATTTTTATAAGTAACCCAACTTTTCCACTGAGGCCATTAAAAAAAGAAACTCCTCAATGTGACACTACCAAGGAGCCAATGACTAAGTTTCCAGAAAAGTACTTCTAGTGCTATGATGTTCTGGACTCCCAAAACTAGGAAGTTCTAGAACAGTAGTTCTCGGCTGGGGGATATTTTGTCCCCAGGGAACATTTGGCATTATCTGGAGACATTTTTGGTTGTCACAACTTGGGGAGGGGTGCTACTGCTCACTAGAGAGTAGAGGCCAGGGATGCCACAAAACATGCTACAATGCACAGGACTAACCCCACAACAAATAATTACCTGGCCCAAAATATCAAAAGTACTCAGGTAGAGGAACCAGTGCCTAAATATGAGCAATACATAGAGCAGACTGCCTCATAAAGTGAAAGCGATTCATCCTGCCATGAAGATAACAAGGTTCTTACTGTAATGGCAGACATTAGGTCATTTTACTTCACCCAGTACTCTCCAAGGCAGATGTTGTATATCTATTTTACAGGTAGGAAAATGGAGGCTAAGAAAAGTTAATTTGTCCAAGGGCCCTCTGATGATAGTGAAACTGGGATGGAACCTCTGCCTGCTTGCTTCTGAGGTCTGGGCTACTCACTACTGCCTCCTGCCTCGAGCCAAGAGATTTATACCCTATTAAGCAATTTGTTGTGCGATAAATTGGAAAACACAGCAGATAAGCAAACAACTCAAGCAAGTAGGTCAGTTCCTGGAGTTTCTGAATTGTTGGGACCAAGGGGCCATGCAGAGGTAACCACAGCTGGCATAGTGTGGTTGAGGTGGCCCTATTAGCCTTTCAGTTGCTGTTACTCATTTATTTCTCAGTGGTCAATGAACCGATTGCCTATCAACCAGCTTTGTGTATAGGTCACGTTCCCATGGTTCTAACCCAGGTTACTGCTCAGAGGTGGCATCATGGCTAAAATATTGCTAGAGGTCAAAGATATGTGTGTGTTTGTGGTGGATTTAGTCGAGTGGTCTAGAGGAATGTGAACCTTAGAGACTGAAGAAGAACCAGCATTTTTGGACAATAATACTTGGGGTAAGGAGAGTGTTAGCAAAACTCTAGGTTAGCATGGGCAGTCCCTGGGATTCAGACTGTAGGCCTGAATGACCCTCAGTCCAGAGCTGTACCTAATAAGGACAACACATTTTAATGTGAGTCCATTCTTAACAGCAAAAAAGTTCCTCTTTGCTTGTCACCAGGGAAAAATGGGTTTGCATAGAGAAGGTGCAGATTGAGGGGGAAGCAGAATGATTCTCATCTC